GTCTGAAAGGCATAAATGCCAGTTTGAAATGAAAGTCTGAAAGGCTTAAATGCCAGTTTGATATGAAAGTTTGAAAGGCCTAAAGGCCAGTTTGATATGAAAGGTTAAAAGGCCTAAAAGCCAGTTTGATATGAAAGGTTGAAAGGCCTAAAGGTCAGTTTGATATGAAAGTTTGAAAGGCCTAAGGGCCAGTTTGAGTTTGAAAAGGCCAAAGGCCAGTTTGACATGAATGAATTGGGCCCGAGGTCGTCTGATGTATAATGTTTCAATGTATTTACTTTATTTGATATTATTCACTGGGCTTTCATTCACGCTCATTCATATGTTTGTAGATGAGCCAAGAAAGGTCCAGACCCAGCCCCAGTGAAGTCTGCATAGAGCAACCGGGTTTTTGAAGAGTCAGCCCACATGTCTCACGCACGAGACTCGCCTTCACCTTTTTGTCATTTTGTTTTATGTTGTCATGTTGGCGACGTCTTTGTATATGTTTGTGTATAGTTTTCATGGGTTGACTTAGTTTTTGGATGATCCTTGTACAGAACTTATGCTACTGTATTTCTGTTGTGAGTTATTAATGTATATATGTTTGGTTGTTTGGATGTGCCATGTATACACAACTCTATGGACAAAGTTTTGAACTGCTTCCGTTTGGCCCCCATTAACTCTGTTAGAATACATTTGTTTTGGTTTGAGGCCGTAGGTAATCTCATGATTACTGGCCGGTTATGTCCTTAACCCACGGGGGCGGGTTCAGATCGTGATAGGATTGGTTGGACCCAAGGTCGTTTTGTATATGAATTGGATCCAAGGTTGTTTTACATATGATGGACCCAAGGTCGTTTCACATATATTGGACCCAAGGTCGTTTTGTCTATAATGGACCAAAGGTCGTTTTGCGAATACAAGTTGGACCCGAGATTGTTTGGTAAATGAATATGGATATGACATAAGATATGTTGGACCTAAGGTCGTTTTGCGTTGATATCGATCAACAAGTTTAGTTATAATATAACTTATGATTAAATGAATCTCATTCATGAACTCCTTTACTTTGGTATTATTCACTGGGCATTAGCTCATTCCTTATTTATATGTATGTAGGTGTGCAGCAAGATATCCAGCCCCAGACACAGCCCCAGTGAGCAATGAGAAATCGAGTTTTGAGGAGTCAACCAAGGTCGCCTCACGCAAGAGGCTTACTTTTGTCTTTCTTTTCCTTTTGTTCTTTTATAGTCACGTGTGACCAAAATTGTGTATAACCTTAGTTTTCGTTAACGCTAACTTTTAAATGATCCTGAACTTATTTAATACAGAATATGGATTTTTGTATAGTGTGAGTTATTATATATATGAGAAAGTTTTTGGTTCAGCCATGTATGCACAGCTCATTGGACAATCTTTGTAAGTTTTGCTTCCGTAATTTAGCCCCCCATTATTAAAAAATGACTTGATTTCTGACTAAGGACATAGGTAATTTTATGATTATTGACCAGTTATGACTGTAATCCATAGGGGCAGGTTTGGGCCATAACAACCTCGGACTTATCAAACAAGAGATAGATACATATATCGTGTATAGTCATCAATAAATGAGATAAAATATCTCTGACCATTCAGACAAGGTGGAGTAAATGGTTTACAAATATCAATGTATATGATTCCAAAAATTTCTTCACTCATTTTGGCACTTTTACTGGTCTTGTTGGTCTGCTTTCCGTTTATGCAGTCCACACAAATACTAAAGTTGGTAAAATCAAGAGTCAGGAAGACTTCACCATTAACCAACCTCCTTATTCTCTCAATGGAGATATGTCCCAATCTCCTATGCCAAAGTATAGAGGAGGACTCATCAATAATTTTATGCTAAATGCCAATATCACCATGCAAGGTTAAAAGACTTTGTTCAAAAACAGGATCTAAATTTAATTTGTACAAACCATTAATTAAAGTGCCAAATCCTACAGAAATAGAGTCTTTAAACAAACTAAAATTTGAACCAACAAACTGAAATTCTAATCCCAACGGTACTAGTCTAAAAACATAAATTAAATTTTTGGAAAAAGATGGAATATAGAAAGTGTTTTCAAGGTCCAAAACAAAGCCATTCTTTAAAACAAGTTTGAAAGTTCCAACAGTTTCGACGTGTGAACGCATCTCATAGATGCCTTGTTCACTTCCCGTCGGTTTCCTTACGTTGAGGAAGCGCATGGTATTAGCAATGTGAATTGTAGAACCCGAATCAATCCACCAATCATATTGATGAGTATTAACAAAATTAGATTCATAACACACAAGAGATATGAGATTACCTTTCTTCTGAAGCCATTTATTATACTTAAGGCGGTCTTTCTTCTTGTGATCTTTTTTCTTGCAAAAAGAAGCATGCATCCTCATTGCCATGATTTTTGAATGGCATTTTACCAAGCTTCTTCTATTTTTGATCACCTTTGCCCTTTTTCCATTGCCCTCCTTTATGTGTTGCTAGATGAGCACTTTCCACTTTTATATACTTTAATCTCTCCTCCTTTTGAACACACATGGTCAAAAGTTCATTGAGAGACCATTTTTCCTTTTGTGTGTTGTAAGAAATTTGGAGTGCTCCATATTCCACAGGAAGAGAATTGAGTATGAAATTGACAATGAATGACTTAGAAATATCAATCACTAAGGACTTAAGACGAGCTGCAATGTCCTTCATTTTCGTAATGTGCTCACGCACACTCCTAGAATCGTTATGCTTCATGCATGATAGTTTGTTCATTAGGGTGCTTGCCAATGCCTTGTCAGAACGAACAAATTGCTCTTCAATAGCCCTCATGTAGGTCTTGACCTCGTCAGATGGTGGGATTGAGCCCCTAATGCTCTGGCTGATATGTGACTTTATGAACATTAGGCTTAAACGATTTGATCACTCCCACTTTTCATAAGCATTCTTTTCTACAGTGAAACTCTCGTTCATAAGTTCAAGAAGTTCATCCACACGGAGTGCTAGATCAAGTCCATGCACCCTAATGTTAGAAGGATTTTGTCCTTCCAGTCCGAAAATTATCACCGTTCAAGAATAGAATACGAGAAGACTCACTAGACAGTACAGAGGTAGAAATCACTGCAATTACCAAGAACATCATTAATGATTTGAAACAATAATTATAGTCTGAATCAACCAATGTCAAATTCAGTAACAAATCTAAACATTCCTATGGATAGAGGTCACTAAACTATATTAGATTTGCTATTACTTTATTATAATAAGATTAATGGATTTTAAAATATTCAAGGAAAATAAAACTCATACTTGTGGGTTTAGAGTGTTCAATCCCTTTAATACCCAATCCATTATCTTTTTCCAATTAAATTTCATAAATAACTACTTTCCTGTGAAACCGAGAAATTATTTATAAAACATAATTCCAATATAAAAATGCCAAATTAATTTTTAACTTTATGTGATCAAAATACTGAGGATCACTACATCTTTATGTCTTAAGATGTTATGACTACTCTCAAAACAGAATAAAAATTTTAATTATGGCATAATTTATTAATATGGGCAAATTCTTATGGTCACAACAAGTACATAATCTTTTAATACACATAATGCATAATACATGCAATCAAAGTAATATCACATGAAGAATCCCAAGACCAAACGCATGTAATTCAACCTTATACTAGATATTGCTTAAAAGTTGGACCAAAATAAATTTCATAAGTCCAACACATAGTGTATGCATGCTCTTATTTCACATAAATAAATTTTTATGGCATAAATAATTACCTTAATGCATGTAATATAATATTACATTGTTTTGGATAACCTGCCAATGAATCTCAAAAATTATAAAAACTAAAAGAACATGTTATAATGCACTGTATAAAATTCAATCAAACTTTAAAGAACATGTTATAGTTGACCATATAAAATTCAATTAAATTTGCTCATTACTTGCACACGCAACTACAATAAAATGTATTTAATAACATGTCCTTCCTATTATAAAATTTAATAGTAAATTAAATTGGTGTAGGTTTCAGTAGTCAAGGCTAAATATTGATCTACTCATAACCACATATACAAAACTTATTGTCTAATGCATATAAAGTTATCAGAATGCATTATCATATTAGTATTTGTTCCATAGTAAAAACCATAATCACAAAAGTTTAAAAAATAAAGGAAACAATTATATATCAATGTGATCTCCACAAGTAAAACCTATATAAGTTCATCTGCTATTTGTCACGTTTATCATATATATAAATTCACTAAATCGATGGAAAGAAAAATTGATTTTTAAAGAATAAAATTCAGATTTTAATAAAGTTGGGCCCACTGGAAATCCATTATTAGACCATGATGAATAAAAACCAAAAACTTGGTGATTCAATCCTTCAAATTTTTATTTTTATTTTTATTTTTTTTAATTATGCAGCAAGATATGTTTTATATGCCTCAAACCATTACGCACTTTGCAAAATTAATGTCAAACAGTAATATTAAAATAAACAAGTTTCATGAATTCTTAAAAACGAATAATAATTGAAAAAAAAAATTGGTTCTCTGATACCAATTGCGAGAACTAAAATAATTCAATAAGAAATAAGAATACTACCTCATGGCATGATTGATGCAAGTCTTTGAATCTTATATATAAAATCCAAATTCAATTTCTAGTAAATTTACATAGTACGTTATGGAGGCCAAATCAGAGCCTTGTCAAATGAAGAATCCTTCAACATGTAATTGGGTGCTGAAGATTGGCGGTGAATGGCATATCCCTGTTCGTGATTTTGGTGAGAGACTCAATGGTGGAGATCATACAGAGGAGATAAACTAGCATGGGCTGGGTATTTAGGCAAATTTTTTGAAGTCAACAAACGGTTGACTCACAAAAGAGGCAATTTGTTACAACATTTTCTAAAGGTGACACTCGAAAAACATTCTCCAAACTAGCACCATGAGTGGAGAGAAGTGAATATGAGCCACTGAGAAATGAACGAATACAATCAAGAACCATGTATTAATATATCATCAAATCACATACATATGAATGAATAGTGCTTAATTACCAATTAAAAAAATCCAACACATAAAAATTGAGACACAATAACACAGCTTTAGTCTAGTCTAGCTAGACTTGAAATTGCCAAGGCCAGTAGCTGGTATTCTCCTCCTGGTGAACTTTGCTACTTTTGCTCATTGCCACACCACCACCACCATTCACCTCTGCAAAGGCATAGTACTTCAACACAAAAGCAAGGCCCAAAACAACCCACTCCAAACAAAAGATCAAAATGCACAATCCACCAGACAATCTCAAAATCACATCACCATCCTCTTCCCTAACATAAGATTTCAACTGTCCCAAGAAATCAGAGGTCCTGGTAAAGATGAGCACGGAGACCGAGCCCTGAAATATCGCGGTGAGAACCGTGGCCACCATGTGAGCACCATACCACTTGTTTGACCCATCAGAGACGGCGGTGCAGCCGAAAATGGCCCCGAGAATGGTGAGGATGTGGAGGAAGATGAGGAAGAAGCCGCAAAGGGAGGGGACGAGACGGAGAGAGATGGTGAGGAAAATGCAACTAGAGGCTGCACCCAAGAGGATGTAGTTACAGAGAAGGAAGATCTTGTGTGTGTGGTACTGAGAACCAGATGATGGGTTGTTGTTGCTCTCATAGAGACCACCCATTTTGTCTCTCAACTCAACTTCGTGAAATTGGGGGTTCAGATTTTGAGCAATTGAGGATGGTGAGAGATTTGATAATGATGTTCAGAGAGGCCTTGTTGAAGAGAGAAGTGGGAGATTGTGAGAGATGAAGTGAAGGTAATGGGTTGTATTTGAAGTTTGATGGGTGAGCAATATGACCGTTGCACAGGATAGTGAAATGACCAACGGCTAGTTTCTTCTTCTATTTAACGGCTATTTTTCCGTTACGATTGGATCTTTGGTTCATACGACCGTTGGATTATTGACTAAATGCAAATATGGGTCCAGCTGTGGAATCCAAAGATTTAATTTGCATTCTGTTTACATTACAAAAACTACAATTAAAGTAATTTGCAATATATTTGATTTAGAGATTTTATAAATAATTTTTAAAATTTTAATTCATATTTTTGTATTTATAGTGATCTTATGAAATATTTTAATTATTTTTTTAAAATTTTTAAATACACTTAATCTTGATATACTTAGTATAACATTTATATAAAAAAAATCTTTACAAAATTCATTACATACAACAAAATACGAAAAATATATAACCATAACATTTATATAAAAAAAATCTTTACAAAATTCATTACATACAACAAAATACGAAAAATATATAACCACAAGAATGCCGGTATCACGACTGGTGCAGCCAAATGCGTTGAATTTTTGTATTTTTATATATTTTTGTTATTTGGTAAAAATAATTATACTAAAAATCACAAATGTTATATTTTTTAAGTGTATCTAGATTAGATTTTGCATAAAAAATTCGAAAAAAAATCGCTAAAAACAAAAAAAACATGAAAAGTAAAAAAACTAAATTGTCAAAATAAAACATAAACAACCAAACAATTTGTACGGCCCATTTGGTTAGATTCATTTGAGATCTAGTACAAATTCAGTCTAATATAATCCAATCAATTTGATTTTTTTTTTTTAAATTTCTTATTCATACAAAATTTGCCCTTTTTAGAGGCAATATTAAGGATGAATTTTTTGGATGTATTTCTGTTTGAAGAAGGCAGATCAAAGATTAATGAAATTCTATGCCATTTACGTACACATAGCTTTGGCCACATCTTGAAAAGATTGAATTACAAATCCCCTCAATCGATAGGTCAAATACAGAAACATAATACCTTGTTACATCTAATCTGAAATTAAGATGTCTCAAAAATGTTTTTGTGATTAGTTGTGGATTTTAATCATCTCCATTTCATTAAATGAAAATCTTCCTTTCATTTATAAAATTACAACGTATCATCATAATTCAAACTTTATAACTACTATGTCATTGTAATTTAAATTTTACCGAACTAATTTAATTTACAATACAAATTCGCTGACATGAATCTTTCATAATCACTAATTGTATGGGAAAGAAATAAACCTTCTCATATAATCCTGTTGATCAAGTTTGCGCTCCTCCGTACGTCATTGCTTTACTCCCTGAAAACACGAACGTGAGTTAGCCGGCGGGTGTGAGCCGGATACCCCTCCGATGCCTAAGTCAGCAAAATAGACAAATAGACAAAAACTCTGTGTATTCGAAAATCAAAGTGGTGTTACCTCTCCATAGGCGATGTTATGAGCTTTTATAGGTTTTGCGTGGCACAATCCTAGTAGGACTTTTACTCATCCATGTAGAGTCCTCCTGGGAGTCATACTCTACAAAGACAATGCTTATCCTTCAACACCCCCCTCACTGCTTATACCAAGTGAGATGGTTTTACCATGGTCGGATTCCAATATAACCGAGGTATGCATGGTTATGCTTAGCCGCAGATTAGACCGAACTATAGCTAGTTTGGTTCTTCCTTTCCTTGCTCTTACCACTGTTTCTTATGCACAAACCATGATGTGAGCAGACCGAGCTAACAAACAGCAACATTCTGACCGAGATAACCACGATAAGCCATGACCGGGCTAACTTTGAGTACGGTGACCGGGCTATATGCAAAGCTTCACTAGACCGAACTAACTTCACGGTTCTTTCGGACCAGGATAACAATAAGGCTTACTAGGACCGGGCCAACTACAAGCCCCCTTTCATCCAGCCCTTCCTACTGTGGCCCAAAGAACGGCCCATTTACCCAACTCGGCCCATTTACCCATCTCGGCCTAATTTAGGTATAAATTACCCTCTCAATTGCCCCTTAATTCCATCTGCGCAGCATGATAAGGATTTACTTGTTTTACCAGCCAAGCTAAAGATTTTAGTCTTACAATCGAGCTAAACTTTTAAGCCTTTACAGCCGTGCTAAGACTATTTAGCCTTCCCAGCCGAGCTAAAACTCTTCAGCCTTTCCAGCCGAGCTAAATTCACACCGGGCTGTACCTATCCGATCAAAACGTCTCTTCAATCACAGTAACTGAATCGCTTCTCATTCCAAGGACACGTGGCATGCTCTTATTGGCCAAAGGCAGCTGTCAAGCCGTCTTCGTACCTCGTGTTTTTTTGAACAGTTCCCGCCTTTAGCCCTTTTCTTTTCACAAAACAATCCCTAAATGCTTTGAATCATTTACTTTACTATTCACCCTTTCTCTCTTGCAAGCCTCTTAACCCCCCATTTCAACCTGATAACTATGAAGCTCGTGGTTTTTGCTTGCAACTGTTGCCCTCATCTTGACCTGGTAAGCTATATAGATCTATTCTCCTTTTATTGTTTTCGCATTTGTTTAATCCATAGCTTTTTGTTTGTGTTTTTACGAAACATATTCTTTTCATTTGCTTTGCCTTGCGTTTTCTGGAAAAAAAACTTAGTAATGGAATCACTTGAAATAACCTGAGAGACACTGGTTTTGATTCAAAATCACAATATAACCGAACTACAAACCGAACTAGCACTTCATGCTAAACTTGTAGTTTCATCAGGTCGAACCATCTTTTGTTTCAATTTATCTTCGTCGGGCTATTGATCCGTGCTAATAGTATGCTTGAAAGCCTCGACCACGACCAAGCTACAACTCAGGGCTAAACCAGCCTTCCTAGTTCAAACCGAACTAAGAATACTGCCCCTATAGGCACAACCGGGCTAACAAATCCTTTGCTCAAACCGAGCTAGCAAACTTTCGCTTAAACCGAGCTAGCAGACCCCTTGCTCAAACCGAGCTAAGATACGAATCAATTCACATAGCCGAGCTAGGACTTCATTTATCTTGCCTGTGTTTCTTTTAGCACGGTCCAACGATCTGTGCTTAACCTTTGTTTTTCACTTTGCAGACTTAGGTTGCCCAGACACTCTTTTGAGCGCTCAACCGAGCTACTCGGCACCATTCTCCGACCGAGCTAACATCCAAGTATAATTTATTCATAACTTAAACCATAATGGAAAAGTATAGGTATTTAGTAAACACACCTAGTGGTATGGCTGAATTCCGAAAGGATTATAACATCCCTGACGATGTTCACCTCACCTTAGCCGACCTAGATACTGTTCCTTGGGGTAAACAGGGTTTTGTCCCTTTTAATGTTATTTCCATTATGGAGTGCGGTCTACGCTTCCCTGTACAGCCCTTACTCTGTGAATTCCTCAGGCAAACCAAACTCTGCCCTACCCAACTTTCCACCAATTCTTACCGCATAATAAACGGAATAGCCGAGCTAAACCGCCAGGCTGGCCTTAACCTTGGTCTTGCCAAGCTCTTCCACCAGTATTCCATAGGATCAGCCGAAGATGGCTAGGTTTACTACTTACGAATAAAGCGTCGGCGTGAAAAAATAATAAAGGACACACCGGACAAAGACTTGAACGATGATAATTTTTTCTGGGTATCTGGGAATTTTGAAGACCACTAAGCCCAGATCCCAGGCCACAGAATAAACTGGATCAAGGGTGTAGTCGGTAGGGTTACCCCGGCTTTACTGCATTCTACTTGTTATTTCGGTTTTCTGATTGTGAACCAAACTAAATATTGTCTTCTTTCTTGCAGATAGGAACTTTCTTAAGTCCCAATACAGCTACCCCAACTTGAACGTGCTTCGCGCCGTGTTGCGATATCCAGACCGGAGTTGGACTGACCTATTTAATTTTGAACCGACCTACAGATACAGTGGAAAACGAAGGACCAGAGTAACTGACTTTCTGCTAGAAGCCTCTCCTGAACCGGACCCATCCTTGCCTCAAATCAACCTTATCTCACTTACTGTCGAACAAGAAATGGCCAAAAAGAGAGCCATGTGAGCCCTTCTGACCGAAACAAACCCAACCGAGATACCACTAGCTGATCAAACTCAGGGGACCGTGGTGGCCCTTCCTACTCAACAACCTTCATCATCTCACCCAAAGAAACGTGCCCGGACTACCCAAACCGAGCAACGTCTTGTTGATGAAGATGAAACCGCGGTTCCTCAAACCATTCTGCCAAGCCCTCCACCGAGCCCACAACCGGAGTGCTCTGGCCAAGCTACCTTCTCCAAATGGGCTCCAAAAATCACCTTTCAAAACCGTGCTATCACGGATTCTGACTCCATGGTCGCAGAGAAAGACCACCTGATGGCATTCAACCTGGCTAAAGGTGTTTGCCTTCCCGCTGACATGAAGCACCACAACCACTTGACCGAGCTAAAAACCATCCGCTCGGCCACAAAATCCATGGTGCTCGTAAGTAGCTTCTTCTGTTAATCTTTCAAATTTGTACAACTTTTATCTCGGTTTGATTACAAGTTTTCCCATTCTTTTGTAGGCCATGCAGAAGAACCACATCGCTCATAAGCGTGTGCTGGAACTTCGCAAGACTACAAGGCAAGCCATGGCCGAAGTGACCGAAAAAACTGCCGAGCTAGAACAAGCCAGAGAGCGGATAGCCAAGCTTCAATCAGAGATGTCCGTCTGACCAGATTGGTTAGCTCGGCCGAAGCAGACAAGCAAAAGGCTGCAGCCGTGATAAAAGACAAATACCTGCGGAAGCTGGCCAAGCTCAAAGGAAAGAAGAACGCCGAGATTGAGAAGCTGAAGAAGAGTATGGATGACGCCGAGCTCTGAGGTTACAAGGAGGGGGAGGCGACTTACATTAAACAATGTGAAGATGCCAAGGATCTCTTCTTCAAATGTAGGTAGAGGGCAGCTGTAGTGCAGCTTGGTCACGGTCCAGAGACCGAGGTCT